GGGCTCCAACTGGGGCCTCATCATGAACATCGTCAACAGCATCGTGGGCGTCAGCGTGCTTACCATGCCCTTCTGCTTCCGACAGGTGAGCAAGGCCCGCCCCGCGCGGCGGGCATGCGTCACCCCCCCTCCCCCCGCCCGCGGCCCCATGAGCCGGGCGTGAGGGGGCGCCTGGCTCAGGGGGGTCCCTGAGGCCTTCCCCTCCCTCCCCCCGCCATGCATTGGCGTGTCCCCCGTTGCCTCCTGTACGGGAGGTTTCTCGTGGCCGGGAGGGAGACGGAGCTGGCCCCTCTCGCGTGCAGCCCCCTGTGCGGCTGCTCCACGCTTAACATCACGGTTACGTTCTCGAAAAACGCGACTCGAAGCAAAACGGCGTTAAGCGAATCCAAGCAGGAGCGACCTGTTGGCAGACGCCGGCCAAACGACGTCGTCATGACCGTCGCGGGACTTTCAAACGAGCACGTTCCCCCTAAGATCGGTGACGTCGTGACAGAACGAGGGTAGCCGGGACGGCGCTCGGCGAGGAGCACCTGCATTGGAGGGGCTTTGAGTCGGAGGCCGTGCCCGTCCCGTGCTCGAGGAACGACCGATGCTCTTTCCTCCAAGCGTGCGTCCGATCGCTCCGTGAGGCGGAGAGCTGCCGGTGCGGGTTGTCGCTGGCTTTCGGAGCGGGGGCAGGCGAGAAGGCGGCATGGGCCTTGCTTCACGCTTCTTAGCCTGGAGCTTTAGATCAGGTTTAACCAGCGAGACTCACAGTTGTGAGGAGAGGCGAGGTAGGCCACGCGCGGTAGCCGTGGGACCGCGTATTGATCCTGGTCAGGCAGGGTTGTGTGTTGTCAGCTCAGCTCTCAGCGGTGACATAGACCAGGGGAGGCCAACCTGTGGCACGCGCGCTGCGAGTGGCCTGGGCGGTGTTGATGGGTGACACGTGGCAGATCGAGCAGGGAGCGGAAAGCAGAGCAGCAGATTGGGCGGAAGAGGAGGATCGGCGTGGCACTCAGGGCCGCACATCTGTCAAATGTTGGCCCCCGCTGACATAGGTCATAGGAAAGCAGGGCTGGAAGGGACTTCACGAGGTCACCTAGGCCAGCTCCCTGCTCGAGACTGGCCATGAAGCTGGACCTACCTCAGTCTTCATTCAGAGTGAGGGAAAGCACCAGAGACGTCTGTCCTTTTGCCAGATGTCATGTTTTCCTCCTGAACAAGGTCGCCCTAGAAGAGCTTCCTCCCTTCTCCCAACTGGGGGTAACAAAACTGGGACGCCTGCATCCTTACTGGTGCCGTGCGGCTTATGCAGCATGCTGGGCTCTAAGGCTTTGCAAAGCAATCCTCTGGCATCTTATGCCAAGAGGTGTGTCCCGGCTTTGCCGATCTGAGGGTTGCCAGGGCCCCATCTAATTTGAATAAAATGAATGCGAACAGCATTGGCAATTACAGTCCTTCCTGTTTGAGGTCCCTAGTTTACAAAATGTTTAATGATTAACATCATCTTTTGCAAACGCCCGCCAGCACTGCGTGGCTAACAGCGCAGGTGGTTTGGGTGTAAACTTTCTGAACAGCCTCTTTCACCTGGGAGGAGGAGTAGAGTCTGGGCTTCTGTGCCAGCAGAATACTAAGTGCGTGGGGCAGTGTCCTACAACGGGCTCTGGCAGGGCCCGAACAGGGCGAAGGCTTGAAAGGTGTGTTCTGCAAATTGTCCTGCTTTGCTGTTTTGGGCAAAAGCATCACTCCAGAGTTGTATAGGAACAGGTGACTGCTCTGTGCCTCTGCTTCCAAAGTGGGCACACAAGTGAGATAGAACTAGCGCATCACATTTGAGCTGGCTGCATTTGAAGGAGGCATCTCCCTTCTCAGGCAAGAGTGTGGCTGAGAAGCTGAAGGTGCCACAACCTCAAAGCAGGGGGTACGTGGCTTTCCAACTGGCGCTTGGACGTCTTTCTTTTTTTTTCCTTCCCTTCCAGTGTGGCATCGTCCTGGGCGCCCTGCTGCTGGTCTTCTGTGCTTGGATGACTCATCAGTCCTGCATGTTCCTGGTGAAATCGGCCAATCTTGGCAAGCGCAGAACCTACCCGGGACTGGGTAAGGATTTTGATCTCTAGGGCATGCCATTATCTTGTCCAGCTTTGACACTGAGGTCTGAATTATTGACGCAGGATTTTGGTGTAGCTCCTGCTATACTTAGCTCCCCTGTTAATCTTTTCTCCTGCTTCATGTTGCCTGAGGGTTGAATTCTCCCTTTGCCTGGGCCCAAGATTGTTTTGACTCTGCAGTGCTGAAGAACGGGATGCGGTGCTGAATGATCAAAACACGAGGTTGCAGGAGTTGGCAGAGCAGGCGTCTGGTGTGAATTATTGGCCTCAGCACAAAACCCACTAGCTTCCCCACCCAGCGTGCTGCTGAGGACATTGGGTTCTGCCAGTAGAGAGCCTGGCATAGAACATGGGCTTTCTGGAGCTCAACTGTGTAAGCGTTTATAGCAGAGCAAGGGGGAGAGGAGAGGAAATGGTGCACTGAGTTCCAAGTGGCCAAGAAAATAAAAACATCTGCAAGATTCATGTGTGGGTTCTTGGCAGAGGGAGCTGTCCCTCTTCCTTACAGCTCGTCTGCTCAGCATTGGCGCCAAGATTGGCATCTGCTCGTGACCTCTGTTCTGTTTCCCAAGGATTTTGGGGGAAGGAGGAGACGGTCGGGTTTGGCCTGAGGAGCTGGAGCTCTCGTGATTGGCACACAAATGAAGGGCTGCTGATTGGAAGGCACTCTCCAACTGGGAAACAAATGGAGGTGCTGATGGGGCAACTCCTGACGGGGCTCAGTTGAATTGCTGTGTGGGGGGTCAGGAATCAGGCTGCGCACGCAAAATCTTTGCCTCTGCAGCCCTGGGAGATTCTCACCTCTGGAAATCCTATCCTCTGCCCTCCGGTGGCCTGACGCCCATCCTGCATCTCCTGCCTTGCTTAGTTGCCTGTGTTCCCACCTCCTGGGGGAGTTGGTGCAGAGAACTGGCTGGTCTCGCTGTTTGTATGAGACTGAAAGCAACGTGCTGTCTGTGCAGTGACCCTGCTGCTGACAGATGGACGCCCTTGGTGCATTAAGTACCCAAGGCTTCGTCGTTTAGCTGCGTGGTGTGGCTTCTGCCAAAATATATATCTACCAGCAGCAGGAAAGAGGGGAAAACTTGTGGCCTCAAAGGTTGTGCCTCCAATACTGCAGAGGCGACTCAATTATAGTTAAGCGCTCAGGTGGAGTACTGTTGGCTCAGTCCCCCTGACTCAGCTGGCTGGAGTGCCTCTCCCACCCCCTTCCTTGCAACAATGAGGCTTTGTGCGGCGCTGCGCCTTTGTTGAAGCAAATAGAGTCCCCCTTCACCTTGGAGTGTCTCCCAGGAAGAAGCGCTCCTCTGGCCTTTCTGAAGCCAAGGAGCTCAGATACACAGAGGGGCCAGTAACACTTCCAAACTTCCTGGCACTGCCTGGCACACAAACACTGGCACGGAAAGAACCAAACTGCCTTCCCTTCCTCTCCTCCCTCCTCAGCTCTGGGAGAGGTGCCACCACGAGCAGCCAGAGGAGGGCCGGCACTGAGAAGGAAAGGCATCCTCAGCCCAAATGAAAGCAGCGCTCCTCCAGTGCATCCTAATACATCAAGGTTGAGCGGCTCTACACAGACGGCCTTTGTCGCCATCCGCGGGTACATCTGCGAGGGAGCCTGGCAGCCCCTGCAGCTGATTCTGTGGGAGGCTTTGGCACCGCGGAAAGATGCAAGAAAGTTTTGCCAATGAACTTTGAGTGGCCAGGTTCTTCCGGAGGAACGTTCAGAGCGATGGATGCAGCAACAAAAGAGCCAGGGCTGGGATAGGCCCATGTCTAGAGTAAACACTTTCATTTATGCAGCGCTTTCTGCATGGGGGAGTATCTGTATATATCTCTAACTGATAGCTGGCAAAGATCTTGCACCCCATGCTATTGTGTAGCAGCAGCTGCCAGTGTACAGCAAAGTGGTACAATAGGCTGGGATTTCAAGAAATGAGAATTGCATCTAACAGGTACTCTTGGGGGAATAGGGATATAGGATGGGATGATTACAGACTATGTGAGCTCAGGACAAGCAGCGCCCTGGCCCCTTATCCCAAAACAAGGCACGATGCTTCCTGTGGCAGACCCAGCTTTGGGGTGGAAAGCCGTCTCCAGCACTGACCAGACCCAGCTCTGCTCAGCTGGTGATTCCTGTGGGTTTCCGGAGGTCGCATTTGGAAGTCTTTTGTCTGTGCAAAATTATGCAGCCACTCCCCTCTTGCCTCTTTGGGAAGATAAAGGATCCAATTTTCCTAGTGTCCCCAGATGGGGACATCTGGCATAATGTCTGAAGACTCGGTCTCATTAAAACATCATTTCAGAATAGCCAAGGAGACTGATTGTTTCTTAAAATCCCAAGCCTAGCCTAGCCAGCAGCAGTAGTTATTATGTGGAGGTGTCCGCCTTTCTACACAAACTAACAACAACCAGGCTGATTGCAATGAAGCAATAGCAACAATCCTTTTGAAGCTCAGTTCGTATAACAAGCCTCTCTTCAAGTGGCTTATCTTTTTACTGCCTTTATGCCTTCACCTCAGATAGGCACTGCCTACTTCTACCAGTCAGCACTGTCTTTTCCTCTTTGCTAGGAAACCCCAAACAGGGACAAGACAAAATCCAGAAGCTTTTCTAATGGCATGGCCTCTTCTCGTGTGCAGTCAGCTTACAAGACTCAGCCAGCATTTTGCCTTGCTCTTCTCCAAGTTGTCATCTGCCTTCTGGGCTTCCCCACATGACAGAAGCCATGACTTGCTTTTCTAACGGTGCCCCCCCCGCCCCTTCCCTCCTTTTTTCCTGCTCTAGGGCGGGATGTTTGGTTTCCTTCATTTTCAAACTAAGGAGATTCCAAGGAAACAGGAGATGCTGGAGGTTATGGAAGGCACTTCCAGAGATGAGCCCACTGCATTGGCTACCACCAGGAATGTATACTGCACGGCCACATCTAGAGAACCAGCAGGGAAAACCATGCTGCTCTTTGCTTGATTTGACCAGTGTTAACTACAGAGGAGCAACGGGAATACAATGTGGCCTGTGTCAGAACTGGAGGTCCGACTTCCCCTGTCTTTCCCCACCCACCCAGAAAGATACCTCTAAAAATATAAGCTGAGCTTTCTTGGCATTTTCTGTTTCAGGAAGAGCAATGATTTAAACAATACTGATCATTTTCTTCTACGAGCTATGACCAAAGTATGGGGGGGTGGGGAATCTCTTGGCAAAATCCCTTTGGTGTGGGTTGTGAGCACTGGGTATTCTGGGTATGGAACTGAGCATTCTGGGCACCATCTCCGCTCTCCCATCCAGCAACGTCCAGCGGTTGAGTTGGAGTGGAAAGATAAAAATAAAAATGGGAACTTGATTGAAATTTTGCACTGCAGTCGCTTTTTGCCACGCAACATCTTATACATGCATATTTTCTCTTCCGCACTCACTTTTTTCTAATGGTTGCCATGTGTAACTGCTATTTAACACTGCTTTTTTTTTTTTTTTTTTAACAAGGGAGGGTGGAAGAGGCGGGGAAGAAACCTGTTTTGTCTCTTTCTTCCATCTTCTGATGTGGTTTTTGATTTGTGGATGATGTGCCCAAAAAAGAAACTGGGAGTGAGGGCAAGAGAAACCAGCCCCAAAATACAAGCCCAGTGGGTTCCAGCGGAATTGCCCTGTGGCACCAGCATTGTTTAATTATGAACCGATGTATGTGTCGTGTTCTAAACCCTTCAGTGACTGACTGTGGTGTATTTTTTTTTCTTTTGTGCTAGCATTTCACGCCTATGGAAAAGCGGGGAAGATGCTAGTGGAGACCAGGTAATGTGCTATCTATTGAACACCTGTTCTCCATGCCCTCATGTGACTGTGGTCTGGTGTAGTGCGCCTGTCTCTTATCCTCCTGCTTCCTGCAATCCTCCCTCGCCACCTAAATCTAGATAGTAAGCAGAGCCACTTGGACTGGACCTCATTTTCATCTCTGTGCATCTGTTTTACATAAGATGCTTATCAAGCTTTCTTTGCACCCCTTTTTCCAAGTGGGAGAGCATGCTCAGTTGTTTGTGAGAGGTTGGGCATCTAGAGGCCTGAGCCTCAGCCCCTATTCTGCCCACGCTCATTGGGAAACCTGGGGTGTGAGTGTTTCGCAGCCTGCCTTTTAGAGGCACTAAACTGCCAAAGTCCTCGTGGAAGCCAGTGGAGGCAGGTGCATTCAGTACCCCTGCATATCAGTCCTTAGATTTCCTGCGTGCCTTGCATTCCCCGTTGGCTAACACTGCCTCGTTGCTTGGAATGCAAGTTAATAATTGCGTATTTGGGGAGGGTGAGCAGAAATCCTGAGTTATTTAAGGCTAATGCAGGTCTCTCTTGTGGGCTATAACGTGTCTATTCTTAAAAGTGCTGTATGCAGCCGTTGAAAGGCTGTGTGGGCAGTGATGAGGAAGCCTACAGCAACCTGGTTTAACTGTCCCAGGTGGGGTGGTTGAGTAGAGGTTCTCAGGCTGAGGTCTTTCAAGATCTGGCTGGTCAGATGGTGCTGACTTCTCTCTGTGTTCCCAGCTGCTGAATGGCTGTAAGCAACGGCTAAAAATACACAAAAAAGTTTTCTAATTTTTGCTTTTCCGTGCAAGCAATTGGTGTCATTGCCCCAGGGATGTTGTACCATCGGAAATCAGGGGAAGTGGTCCATGCAACCATGAATGGGAGGGGAAGTGGTTCACGAGACAGTCTCTTCATGAAAATGTGGTCTGTGTTGTGAAAAGCACTGGAGAACCTCTGCTCTGCAGTGGAGACTTGTAACCCAGCCTCTGTGCTGGGGCGGAGGGGGGCTGTTCTCCAGAGCTGAGTGCTGCTTTGACCTGATTGTTGGGAAAGCGCTGGCAGAGGTTGCCATCTCCAGACAGCAATTAAATCAGCACGCCTGCTGTGAGCAGAACCCCCTCTTTGCTGACTCGCAAAGATGCTGCACGTGGCAGTGAACTGAGTAGTACCGCTTTGGGTTTTGCTCTGCCAGAATCAAATGAGGAAAGATAAAATTGTTGAGGGAAAGACCTTGTTTTCAGGCTTGCGAAAGGACAGAGTCTCCCATGAGAGCCAGGTAGGCGGGCCTCTGCCACTGCATGCAGCCCCCCTGGGTTTTCGCAGTCTGCAAAACTCAGGGCTTGTCTTCGCAAGGATGCTCAGAAAGTCGAAGCTGAATTAACCAAAGCAGTGAAGTCCAAGTGTATTAGTTCAAGAGCATTACCTTCCTGGGTGGACACCCCCATGCAGAAGCAAGCAGGACTAAAGCCAGGATGTTAATGTGCTTCAAAATCCTACCAGTCGTTAATTTAGCTTAGCTTGCCTGAAGACTGCGGTGTAGAACTGACCTTAGTGAAACAGCTTCTAGCAGTTCCACTCTGTCCCAGGTGACTTCTCCCCTTCATAGCCCTCGTCTGTCCTAAGTATCCTTCTTGGTTTTCCACTTGTGGTAGCAACAGCAGGGGCTGTCATACAGACCAGGAGTTGGTGGCATCTGGCACTTTAACCATGGGCACCATGGGAGCAGGGTAGATAGAATAACATGGCCTGTGCCAGCATCTTGTGGGGGCCACTGTTACCACCAGCACTTCTCTTAGAACGTCTCCTATAGTTCTCAGAAGTCTCACGTTCACCTAATCAAAGCACAGCCTCCCAAATGCTCACCTTCCAGGAATGCAGCGGGGATTGTACCTGGGAAGCAGCGTGTGCT